GTCTATTTCGGATGAAGCTCGTGGCCTGCAATTACTCCACAGTCCATATCAGCTCCTGTTCAGTCAGTCAGAGGCTTCTCAGCGACGCCCTCGTCGCTTTGCGCCTCCGAGAGCGGGTCGCCTCATTTGCCAGAGCCGGGAAGCCCGGGCCCGGCTTGGGGTTTGGGGCTTTGCAGAGTTTTGCAGAGTTTGCTTGGGTCCTGTTAGGCTTTGGGGAAATTGGGGAAATGTCCTCCCCCTCGGCCCAGGATCTCCTGGCTGCCTCCGCTGGGGAAGCCAGCAGCTCGAAAGGGGCGAGGCTGTAGAAGCCATGAGCTGGAGTTTGGCCAGCATGGGGTGAATTATTCACCTTGTATGAAGTACTATGAAGTACTGAATTCAATTGGGGCTCTTCTTTGAACACCCACTCCTTGCGTGCCCGCTGTACGCCCGCCCACACTAACCAAGACAAGAAACCCGACCGAGAGAGGCGAAGATGACGTCAAGCATACATATATATATATATACACACATACATACATGTACACACACACACACAACTGGCCATATGCTGTTTCTGCCAGTTAGCAGCGTTGAAGCGCTCTTGCGAAAGCTGTGTCGCAAACCTCGCAGAAACCGTTACAGTGCGGCACATGCTTTCACAGACAGCACACGCCATCAGTACAGTCAGCATAAACATGCCCCTCTGGAGTCTGGAGGCGTTGCCTCCCCCAAGGTGTAAAACACATCCTTTTTCTTTGGCAGTGCAATCTGCGAAGACACACTGCCAATTCCAAGTTCTTCTATCGACCTCTATCATGCAGTGTCGAACGTCGCGAGTCCTGTGCGCCCTCGCCATGGCCCACATCTTTTCCTGATATTGTGCAGCCGCTGAACATGCCTGTGGGAGCCGATGCTGAAATCCCCCTGCCCACCTTGAAGGATAACGCTATGAGAAACGCTGGTTCCAGGGAATCAGGTCCTGTACCACACCGAACAAGTCTCGGTCACGGTGCATTTGTTTCACATCTCGCGCTCGCAGCTGTATTTTTGACTTGCCATTTCGCAAGACTGCTCCAACCAAGGCCCTTGCAGGGCTGCCGTTCCTCGCCCACGTTGAGTCGAGGTCTGTGCTGGCCTGTCTGAAGGTGAATAGATGCATAGCCTATGACAAGCTCGGCGCATAAGATGTCGCCGTGCGCGGCAGGACGTGGTTGGAGAAGTTTAGGGTCTGCGCCCCGGCCGGCTGCGAGCATCCGCGAGCTGAAAGCTTTCAACCCGAATGCTGCGCCAGGTCACCGCGCTTAGGTGAGGAGGGCCCTCGGCCGTCGCAGCCTCAAACAAGGAATCATGATCCAGATCTCGACTTCAGCTACACTATCGGAAGCAGGAGCTACTGAAGACACATCAACCAGCAGCTTCACAGCCCTTCCTCTCAGGGCTGCCAGCGAGACTTCCTGGGCTGGTGTATCGGAGGCCCGCAGCGAAAACTCCTGGATTTTTTTTCATGGTGCAGTCGTGCTGCGGCACTTAAAGAGGTCTAGGAGCTTCATTGGTTCTCGGGCTCCGAGCGATCCCACACCCCAAGCCAGCAGCCTGAAGGTACCAAGCGCCAAGAAGTCCGTCGCCTCAACAGGCTCGCACACAGAGGGGTTGGTACGTTTTGAGTTCGGAGACCCGAAGTTTTAAGTTTGGTGGATCTTGGCGGAAGCTATGCCGTGGCTGTCCAGAGCAGCTTCCTTGTCTTGGGCTTGGAGGGATTGGTTACCGACCGTGGACTCCAGCGCATATGCTTGTGCGAGGGGGTGGGGAGTTGCTTCTCTTTTGGCTGTGTGGAAGAAGAGAGATATGGGGGGGGGGGGGGGGGGGAGGTCGCTCCTCCTCTGCCCTTGTGAAAGACATGAAAGACAAAGAACGAGGGTGTCGAGGCGACGGCTAGGTGTTAAGGCTGGGTTGAAGGTGTAGCACAGCAACCGCAAGTTTGACACCGACTTGAGCGCTGGGGCTTGACGGATTGGTCCTGGCGGGGTGGGGGAGGGGTGATGCCTCTCCCCTGAACCCGGAAGCAAGCAAGAGAGTGCGAGTCGCGAAAGTTGCTCGTGCTCTCTTGACTGTGCTGCAGAGGAGTCGCGAAAGTGGTATCAGATGCCCACACGCACACTTCGGGCCATTCCTCTAGACAGCTGAGTTGTCAACGTCTGCAGGCTCGAGCATCGGGAAGCCTATGTCCTCTCTTGGCGTCAAGAAGGGCGGAAGGAACCATGCAGTGTACCAGCGGTGGCAGGTGGGATCTGGTGTGTATACGGTGGGCTACAAAAACCATGAAGAGGGAAGACTTTGCATGAATAGCAACGTCCTGCTTTCAGTATGCAACTCCGAACATGTTCGGGCTACCTTTTCCGTGTTTTACTGTTGATCGAGCCCAGAAGATTTGAAAGTCTTGTTTTCTGGATGAAGGCTTGGCTGTTCGGCAATACGTAGAGTCTGTCCAAATCCAACACTCTCAACAGCTTCCGATGTTGGACTTATGAGCACCTCCTGCGGGAAAGATGCCAGTGGACCTCGCGCATGTGCTCCTGCATGAGCTGGAATTTGCTGGAACCCGGTTCGGCGAATCTGCAGGCGTTAGGTTCAAGATGCCTTGGTGATGTAAGAGCTCATGCTGCATCTCCACGCCAATCAGTTTCCTTCAGTTGCCGTTTGCCAGCATGCAGGAGAAGCATGGCAACTTGTAAAAGTTGTTTGGAGCCAAGGTCTGACGAAAGTTTCATTTGGCCAGGCTGAACCTCAATGGCTCGGCAGTCTGGACGCATAAGTGCAGAGTCAAAGGGTGTTTATTCTGTCTCAGAGCTGCGTTGGACTCTGAAGGCACTGGCCGTTGCTCTTGAGCCTGCAGTGCCTCTGGTTAGCAGCAGCCGTGCGACCGAATGCTCGACTCTGGTTTGCAGCGTTTGCGGGTCGCTGTGTTCTCGATCGGAGGGAGCAGAACTGAAGTGCACCCATGGATGCAAATTCTGTAGACCGATCGAACTCTCGGGCACCTTTGGCACGACTAAGCTCGCAAGACGGTTTACCGTTGAAACATGAGGAGATGAAGAACTGGAGCAGGTCGTAGCGTGGCAGCAAGATAAATCCACCAGAAGGGTCAAGCTTGTCGTTCGCTTCTCATCTCTGTCGCGGCACCATCCCTCCCTTCCCCCTGCTCTCCCCTCCTTCTCCTCGCTGGCTCCCCTTTCTCCCCTCGCGGCCCTCGCTCCCTCCTGGTCTCGCCGTCGCTCCCTTTGCCTCTCTCTCCTCACTCCCTGCCCCCAAATCATCTTCACTCTTTTGAGCTCACGTTCTGCTGCGGCCAATCTTGGATACTTGTCCAGAAGATGTTGTGGTCACGACATGATACCCCCTTTTGCAGTGACATTCGGACAGACTGCTGAGCGACCTTTGCCTGCCCGGCCAGCGGATGCTAAAGGCCATGCACGAGGACAGCAGCCACAGGCATAAGCAGCAACACCGCTACGCGCAGGCAGGGGCGGAATGTTGTCAGCTTATGGTGTTGTCCTTTGAGCGCCGATCCAAGCATGCGTGCTCGCAACTTGCATAGCCACCTCTCATGGACTCCATCCTTCAGCTGAGGCATCGATGTCCGGGCTCCGAGCACCTCCATGTCACATTCCCCCCAAAGCTTGCCGGCGCTTGACATTCCAGTTTATACAAAGAGTCCACTCAACCCACCACTGACTGATTCTCCTGGTCATGGGTTCTGAGTCCGATGTGCTTAGCAGTTCGAGAGTTCAACTTCGCCGCAAACACCCTCAAAATCAACAGGGAACATGCTTGCAGGCTGCAATGCGCCGCTCATTTTCCGCCTAGAAACCGTCAGGTGCTGCACGTGACTGACGAATGCGAGAAGGACTTGAAGGCAAGACCACTGGCAGACTGTCACAGCACAAAACGTGACGCTTGCGTAGTAATCGGCTGATAATGCAAGGGAATTGGAGCATGTGGAACAGCAGTTCGTAGCATCCCGCCGTGTGCTCTAGAGTCTAGACATTCCGTAGTTTCACACGAGCCTTCTCGTGATCCTTGTCCAGGCGCCGGCTGATCCCACCGAGGCCCGTGATGCGAAGTCTTGCGTCATCGTTCTCCAAGCGCCCAATGCAGGTGTTCTCAGCAGTAGTGGCTCCCAGCGAGAAAAGCATTAGCTAAGTGGCACAGCTGCCTTCCGCGCTCAGTGTACAAGGGCGCAGGAGGCACTGTGACATACTGTGACTGTCTTGCAGAGGCCTGCCCCAAGAACTGCCCGTTCAGCGCCGAAATCAATGACCCAAAGGAGCCGCGGCCTCGGTTTCAGGATGAGGACGAGCGGGATTCTGATAGAAGCTTCAAGCCAAGACGATGTGGCTGTGCGCATGGAGCCCAGACCGGGAATCCGGTGCAGGTATTGCCACTTCAAGTGCGTGAAGCCCCAGGCCGGGCCCGGACTGGGCCCTCACCTTAAGTTACTTCTTCCGCAGATTTTTCTTGCTACCGGCGATGCTGCAGACCTCAAGCAAAACCTGAGCAGCACTACACTGGCCATTCGCAGGAGTGCGGCACCGAAGGAACCATACCCAACCAGACCATCCCTGAGCGGGAGAAGACGAAAGAGACCCTTCACTGCACAAGAAGACACAAGCTGCCGTGTACATCGAGGCTGGTTGTCGCTGAAGCAGCGCAACATGTATAGTTGATGCTGCATTCACGAAAATGCTTGGTGTGGCTTTCAAGCAAGTCCTGAAGGCATACATAATTCCAAACAGGTGGGTGTCTCCTTTGCCGGATGCGACAAGTAAATCCATCCCAGGAACCCCTATTGCCGCTACTGCGAAGTGGAAGCATGTGCCCAATGCATATCCTCCAAGCCCGGAGTGGAGGACGAAGCAGCGACTCGCTGTCAGAAGCGTTTCACGTTTTAGTCGACTCGACATTCGAGTACAGGGTCCTGCAATCCGTCTTTCTTCAGCCTTTCTTGACCTCCACGTTTGGATCGATGCATGGCGGGATGTGCTCAAGCATGTTTTCCTGCGGCCTTCGGGATTGCACCGAGACTTCTGCGGAAGCAAGAGATGCTCAGCGCTTAGGGTTAATCGGAAACCGGAAGGGAGGGGGGTGCAGCACACTGATTCGGAATTTCGGAGCCTTGCTGAAAGATGCAGAAAGTATGCAGATCTTGATGCGATCCCAGGTGGAGAAATGCCAGAAGTGCATGCTGGGTTACACTCTGCCTTTCGGCTGCAGTGCTCGGATCCTTCCTGGCCTGGGATGTTTACTTTGCCTAAGCAGAGCACTAGCGTTTCTCAGTCTTTGCAGAGCCGAGGTCCGAAGATGGGAAGGAGCTTGGGTTGCACGCATGAGAGCAGGTTGAAGTGTTGCCAACAAGTCGCTGATGATGCGGCCCATGATGTCGAGGAGTGCACTAGCCACGGCGATGACATTTTCCTGGTGCTCGCTGCAATTGGTGCCGTCGCAGGGCTGCTGGGTGCGTGCCCAGACTGCAAGACGCAGCTTTGGACAAGACTGTATAAGAACTTGCTTCTCTCCACAGCAGGGCTCTGTGGCTGTGTTTCCCAACATCCACACGTTACTCTAGTATAGTTCATAGTCGCTGTCCCCTCCACCACGTTTATGACTGACAGGCTGGCCTGCGCAAAGACACTTGACTCCGCCTCCGAAACAACGGTTCCAAACACAAGCTCTTCAAAGTTGAAGCCACTGAAACCACTCCCGTGCACTCCCAGGGGCTGGTATGTGAGCTTGGCCATGAAGCCCACTGTGAATGTGGAGGGTCTCCAGCAGCCTGGCTGTGTGCTTGTCTTTTCCATGAGAGTCGGGACAGTCAGATTTTTGCAGATTCGAAGACACAATAATGAATGCCGCGAAGCACATCTTCTGCGAAGGTATGCCCAGTCGAGCCACATGCGCATGATGATCACCCAGGCAGGGTACTCTCTTTTTGCTGGCCTTACTGGTGTGTTCAGGGTGCGGGCCGCATCGAGCCATCCGGCACATAGGCGAAAAGCATCAGACAGCTTTGAGAGCAGACGTGATGGGACTGCCTCGAGGTTGTGTAGGCTTTTCAGCTGTCCCGAAAAGCAGGATTGGCAGCCTTGTTTGTTCACCTGCTGTAAGCGTGAACAGCCGCTAGCACATATGCTTGAATGCTGAGCAGGATCACCATGGAGACGAGGGTCAACCGTACCCGCCACACACCTGCATTTGCCGATTCAGTTGATGGGTTTCGTCCGGGACTCCACGAAGGGTATTCCGCATGTGATATTCCGGCACATTTTGAAGCAAAAGTCCGTGCTCATGCCGCGCCCGGCAGCAATTCAACCCGGTGAATTCATGGTTCAAAATTGCGAGAGTTTGTCCTTTTCTTCATGCTTGCTATAGAGGTTCGGTACCAACCTGATGTCCAAGACCGTGGCGGGGCCTGGCGCAACAGCACTCTTTCGCTTCCAGGCACTCGGACCAATGCCAGTCAGGAGTACCGTGCGATGTCTCTTGAACTGACTGCTCCATGAATCCCAAACTGCGGTGGTGAAAGACTCTCCGTGTGCGCATGCCCGGAAGGGTGCAGTGCTCCTATGGGGCTTGCTCGTGCCACTTGTCCCGCAAATGTAAACAGACGAGAGTCTCCTTGGATTCCATGCCACATGGCATCTGATCATCTGCGAGCACGGGGAAGCTGTACTGTATTCAGTGGACGGCTCGGCCACTGGGGCATCTCGAGTAACCGCAGTCGTTTCTTAATGCACGCGCCTGTTCCCAGTGTGCCCTTGGTGAGAAAACAGAGGCTTTGCCTTTGGTTTGCCTTCGTCCTGTTTGTCAGGCCCTCAGGTGTCTCTATACATGTGTAGCCGCAGAACAGCAACTGACCGCCAAACTAAGCTTTGGTTTGTTACTCGAGGTCAGCAAGGATCTGCTCATTCTCGGCAACCGCCCGGCTGCCACGCCTCGTCAGCTTTGCGAGGCCTCCAGCTTGTGGCACTCGATCTCAAGTGATGTCTCTAATTGTGTTTTCCTAGCAACTGTATGCCGCTGTTGAAATCTGCAACACAGCAGCTGACATCACAACCTTGTTTGTGATGGGCACACGCGGTTGGGGTGCACAATGGAAGCCTTGTAGAGCATAGGCCTTCCCATCAAGATGGAGCGAAGACTAGGCCCACGGTCACTGACAGGGTGGCATAGAATCGAGATGTAGCACGGGCTAGTAGCACCAATTCATTTCAATCCGCCACTGGACTTCCTCTAAAGACCTTGTCAATGAGTCAAGGCTGCAGAAGAGGCAGCAGTCGTCACAAGCCAAACGAGCAACTGTGTCTGCCACCTCAGGTGGTTTTCTGGGGACGGCACAGACAGTGCCTTGTTTGCAGCCCGCATCGAAGCTTTGCTCTTGCCTGCTCCATGCAGCTGGGCATCTATATCGCAGTGGGTTGTCATCCTGCCTTCCCGTACCCTGCCCAGCATGCCTTCAAATCAGGATGGAGCTGATTTGGACGAAGTGTACTTGGATCGTTTGCGCGTACCTGCTTGGCACCATTGGCTTCTTGGCCGGAGTACTTCTTCCGCGTGCCAACTGAACTGAGGATTTGTTTTCGATTGGAACAGGTCTGGTCAAAAATGTAAAAACTCCAAGCCACTAAACCGTAAACAATGCGGAAGGAAAGGGCAGTCAAAAAACCCTTGAACAAGAAACATAACAGCATTCCTTCTGGAGCCTTATTAGCTTTTTTGTCATGGTCAAAGACAGAGTTCTTGATTTTGCACATCTGGAAGAATCCATGACGCTCTGCTTTGCAGGTGCTGTGGCCTATGGAATCATGATGGCCAAGTTCTTCGTGAGCTTTGACAGTGAACGCGCCACAGCGAGTACTGGGGGAAGGGCACGTACTGGTAGCTTGGTCAGTAAACTTTGACGTACCAAACTTAAGTTAAATAAAGCGGTGCAGCCTCGCAGCTAGATGGGATCCAGAAAAACAGGAGACCAGGGTAAGTGCGGTCTTGGACACTTCATGTCCACAAAGCCAGTGCAGGCGGGGCATCCCCACAAATTTGCTGCTCGCAGGGGGCAGCTCCCTGGCCTTTGCCCTGCTGCCTGGCGCTGCCTTGCCCTCGCCCGCAGCTATATCGGCCCCGCTGTTGGCAACTATCGCTTAACGACGGCTTCACAGACAGCACTGCAGTCTCAGTATGATTAACCCAACTTTCGGTCAGTACACGTAACTTATCTCTCTGTGCAGCCTTTGTGCAGATTACTGCACTCCACGAGCAATGCCGATCGCTCCGATGTGCTTCGCGCTGGATGCTGCGGATGCTGATGAAGACCCCCCTCGGCTTGGATCAGAGCCTGGGTTTGCAGGAGGTCTCGACAGCTCACGGCAGAGTCTCAAAGCTTCCAGTTACCATCCGCACAGCCGGAAAGTGACAGTTGTTGCTCCAGTTCTTTACTCGTGTCCTCAACGTGAGCCACCCTGCTTGACCAAGGAAAGGAAGGCACGAGCTTTGAGCCCCCCAAGCCACGTGATTTTCAGCAAGGCCTTGATGGAAGCCACAGCCCGCCACCGACCCAAAGGCACAGACCTTGAAGACATGTACGCTTTCCTGCCTGACCAGCTTGGAAAACACGAGAAGGACGTGGCTGAGCATGCTGAGCCCGTAGCCACCAAAGCGATGAGCCTCCACACGGCTGGCCCGGCTGGCAAGCGCGCAAACTCCTTGACTCAGATTCGGGCAAGGCCTGCGGCTGCGGCTACAGCTTCGGAGGCTCCCAGGAGACGAACGCGAGGTTCAAGTACCGGTGCCAACAGGAAGGCCCTTGTATGGAAGCCAAAGCAGAGCCAGACGTGCGAAGCTTTTGCTGGTGATCGGGTTCATCCAGCGCTTTTTCGCCGAGGTGGCTGCTGAACAACTAGCCCTGCGGCTTTCATGAATTCGGCCATTGCACATGTGCTTGCCCGAATCCATTCGCATGCGCACTGCTGCAAGGCTTTGCAAGGTCCCAAATGTTTTCGAAGAACTCACCTTTGCAAGATTCTTCACGATGTCTTCAACACAGTGCAGCGCCTTCCTGCTTTCCCAACCGCAAGGTGAGATAGGCATGCCTCAAGATCAGGTCCTGCGAAGCTAACTGTCTTTGAGATTCATCTCTACGATTCTCCGGCCTGAATTTGATGCATGGCGAGATTGCCAATGCTTCAGAACTCAGAACGCTTGCATTTCTGCTCCTGCGGGGCAGTCGCAGAATGTCTCAGAAATCACCCGAAGCCGGAAAAGGATGTTGGCAAGAGCTACCTGGCAGTCGCGAATCTGACTTTGCATTAGGTGCCACTCTCTCCGACTACGTCGCGGTGCTTGAGGCTTGGATGTTGCCCCACGATACGGCCGGTTTTCAGCCAATGCCTATGTCAAATGTGTCTTGGGGACGGGCATGTCCGTCCTGGTGCTTCAAGTCAAGGCCTCCAAGGTTCTGGTCGATCTGTTCGGCAACACAGCTTCCGGGTTCATGACTAACTTCTTCCGGTACACCCTGACATCGACACAGGACCACCATCCTAACTGGGCATCGGGTTCTGTGAACGAGCGCAGGGCGTCCCAACGATCACCGGAGAGGAGCCTGCAGAGGCTTTGTTGAAGGAGGCGCGTCATGGGCAGACTCGAAACAGCGACCGAGAGCTCAGAGATGGTCGCCCGTCGGACATGCGATGCCACTAAGAGAGGGGACTTCTCAGAGCCGGCCTTATGCCAGAGACTCTGCAATCACCGGTCAGGCCGTGCAGAAAGCAATTGGCCATAGCCTCAGCGAGCCGGAGTGACGTTACAGGCCTATTTGGATTGGGGTTCTCCGATGCTCTTTGCATTATGATCTTGCTGAGGATCGTGCAAAGCCCGATGCGCGCACGGGGGCTTGCCACCACCTGCACTCGGCCAGGTGAGGACGTTGCCAAGGACGTCATTGCGGTCTCGGTCGGTTGGAATTTCTCCGAGCATGTGCCCCAGGCTCGCACGCTTTGTAACATGTTCTTATGCGTTACATGACGTAGCCTGCCTAGGGCCTAGAAGCTTAGCTGTGGTTTCGAACCTCGGGAGTTTGATTCTTGTGTGCGGGTGGGTGGATGCGTGTCTGTGTGTTCTTTATTACTAACAGGCCCCCCCCATCAGAACAACATACGGGGCACCAGGTTTTGTCTCCAGTCGTGTAGAAGAGACAAAAGCAAGAAGTTGTTGTGGGGACAGGGCTCCTGTTTTTGTTCGTTCCTCGTTGTTGTTGTCGTTGTCGTTGTCGTTGTCGTTGTCGTTGTCGTTGTTGTTGTTGTTGTTGTTATT